ACATTAATTGAAATACTAACAGTCAATAAATACGAAATCACAGAAAGAAATAACCCAGTACACAGAGATATCAACAGGGGATCTCCCAGGATAACGTCCCGTAGTCCCAAACGTAAATGTACAAAGGATCTCCCGGGATACCGTCCCGTAGTCCAAATCGTAAATGTGCAGGGGGATCTCCCGAAATACCGATCCGTAGTTCCAAAATAAATATCCAGTAAAGGGGGATCTCCCGGAATACCGTCCCGTAGTCCCAAAGTGAACATGCAAGGGGATCTCCCGGAATTTCCGTTCCGTAGTCCCAAAATAAATACGCAACAGTATCAACGAGGAAATTTACAGTTCTAAACAAGTTCGTATCAAGAAAACAGGTAATTTCTACCCTAAACATGCTACACAGAATTCAAGTAAGCTGTTTAAGCAGTTAAGACAGTTAAGTCACGTAAGCATGCTTTCCTAAGTTAAATAGGAGGCTTCAATACTAGTATTGCTCAATTCAAGGTAAAACACAGATATTTACTTAATGAAACAAGGTTTTTCAACAATTAGCACGTGTACGCACTCGTCACCTCATGTACACGGCATTCATATAACAGCAGTACCAAAATTTTAAGGGGAGTACCCCCACACAAGGTTAGGCAAGCCACTTACCTCGAACCAAGCTCAAATCGAATCCGAAATCACGCACTTGCCACGAGTATCCAACTCCGATTGGCCCAAATCTAATCAAATCAATTTCATAACGTAAATATAACTACAAACAACTAATTTAGCTAATGAAATCGAAGCTAAGGCAAGAAAATAGAAAAATGCCCAAAAATCCTCCCCGGGCCCACGTCTCGGAATCGGGTAAAAGTTACCAATTTACAACACCCATTTACTCACGAGATCACTCGTCCAAAAATTACTCAATTTCAACAACTAAAACCCGATCAAAATCCAATTACTCGGTTGGAGAACTTTTTCCCCAAATCCCCATTCTTCCACTCAAATTCTTAGATTAGATGAGGAAAATAATAATAATAGATTAATGTATTAGAACCAAATTTGAGTCAGAATTCGTTACCCAATTGTTCTCCTTCAAAATCTCTCAAGAAATCGCTTTCTACCGAGCTCTAAATCATTTTTTTTTGAAGTTATGGACTCAAACCCTCGATTTCACTCTTTTCTGCCCAGCGATTTCCAATTCTACGAGGAACAACCGCACCTGCGGTCTCGCTTCTGCGGCTCGGGCTCCGCACCAACGGAAATTTATTAAGCCTCCAGACACCGCACCTGCGCTTCCTTCCTCGTAGATGCGGTTCCGCTTCTGCGGTCTTTGAGTCGCATCTGCGACCATTGATCTCCATGCCTCAAACCGCATCTTCGGTTACCAATGCACTTCTGCGGCGCCGCACCTGCGGTCCAAAATCCGCAGGTGCGAAACCAACAGGTTCAACACATCAGAATTTTGTCTAAGTCCAAATTCAATTCCGTTAAGCATCCGAAACTCACCCGGGGTCCCGAGACCTCAACCAAACATACCAACCAATCCTAAAACATCATACGAACTCAGTCGAACCCTCGAATCACATCAAACAACGCTAAAATCACGATTCACCCTCCAATCCAAACCTAATGAAACTTGAAATCTCTAAATTCTACAACCGATGCCGAAACCAACCAAACCATGTCCGATTGACCCCAAATTTTGCACACAAGTCATATTCAGCCCTACGGACCTATTCTCACTTCCGGAATCGGATTCCGACCCCGATATCAAAATTTCACTATCGGTCCGAAAACCTCAAAAATTCAACTTTCAGCATTTCAAGCTTAAATAAGGTACGGACCTCCAAAACACTATTCGGACACGCCCCTAAGCCCGAAATCACCCAACGGAGCTAACGGAATCGACGGAATTCCATTCCGGAGCCGTCTCCACACTGCTCCGACTACGGTCCAAATTCTAAATCTTAAGCTCTCATTTAGGGACTAAGTGTCCCAAAACACTCCGAAACCCAAAACGAATCATCCCGGCAAATCACAATAACAGAAATAAACACGGGGGAAGCAGTTAATAGGGGATTGGAACGTTAATTCTCAAGACGACCGACCGGGTCGTTACAGATACCCTACGTTACACATACATATTGAATGTGTTCGAAAAGTCTTTCTTAATATCTATTATACAAGTTCTTCGGCACGAATACAGTGAATGCTCTGAGATTGATTGTTCTACACTTTTTATGTATAAATTTAAACAGAATGCTTTATTATTCCCGTAAGAACGACTAATATAGAACCAATATCTATCAATATAGAAATATAGCAATCAGAAACATGTATGTAACTATGAATGCTAATAGAATATTCGATTTGATATATCATCTTACTTTAGTTCGGTTATAAGAAACTGTATTAACATTTCTAGCATATTATATTTAATTTTAGACTTTCCTTCATTTGAGTAAGCTTATATTTACATAAACTTCATATAATTAAGTACACCTATCATAAGTTTACGTTTTCAAAATATGTCTTGCATATATGCGAAGTCGTTTTCAATTTGTGTGTTGTCCGCTATTATCAATGCTATATGCATTTAGATTATATATGTAATATATTCTTTACTAATAAAAGTTACTACTTCTGCTCATAAATGTACGTTTCAAATACATATCTTACATGAATGCAAAATAATTTTCCATCTTTGTGTTATCCAAAGTTGTTAATCTTATAAATCTTTATAGTACGTCGAACATGATTCAGTAATAAAATTTTATTATTAATACATGGACAAGTGTGAACACATCAGCATTCTGGAAACAACATTTGTCTTTTTTATATTTTATATAGCAAGTTCACACTTATATCAATTTGTGATACTTAATTGTAAAAACAAAAAATTTGTATGTATGTCCTTGATTAAAATATACGTCATATCTAGTTACATATCCATTGTTAATAGATACTGTTACATATAGACTATATATAAAAATATTTGCCTTTTGGTATTCCTTCTAATAACATCACAATTATATCAATTTGAGCATAGCAAATGTGAAATTTAGACCATGCTCTATGAGTTGCTGATTAATATATATTTACGTACAGTTTTCTCGTCATTAATTGATTAAATAATCTTATCATTTTCACTCTCGAGGTTGGTTATTTTAACCTTGATATTATCAATTAAATTGATAGTTGTTTGTATTTGCTATCTTCGTAATGTATTTATGTAAGATCTGCCCGATGTATTAGAGCTCGTTCCCCTATTTGATGCTTAGTGTATGCTTATTTGATGTCTTATGACTTGTGGTGATGGTTGGTCTGATTTCGAAAAGGTTCTGGAGTGAATTGGAACACTTAGTTCTATTTTGGAAGCATTAAGTTGTATGAGTTGACCAAGGTTTGACTTTTGGGTAAACGACCCTGGATTGGTGATTTAAATGTTGCAACAAATTTGTATGATGATTTGGACTTGTACGTATATTTGCATAAGATTTTGGATGTTCCTAGAAGGATTCGACACCATATGTTAAAAGGTGGCAATTTGAAAAACTTAAGAGTTCATAAGTTTGACCAAGGGTTGACTTTGATGTTATTGGATTTCGATTGGCATTCCGAGACTTTGAGTAGGTCTATCTAGTTGAATTGAACTTGTGTGTAAAGTATGGAAATAATTCGAAGTGTCTAAGTGTGATTCGGGCATTCTTTTAAAAGAATGATGATTTAACAACTTAAGAGAATTCTATTCGGTTTACGCCTCGATTCTTTGTTGTAATATTTTCATAGGTGTTTTTGAGCCTTTGAACAAGTCTAAATAGAGTATTTGGACTTGTAGGAATGATTGGATGGAGTCATGAGGAGTTCGGGTGAGTTTCGGCTCGTTTAAAGCAAGTTTTGAAAAACTTGAAATGCTGAACTTGTAATTTTTTGCACTTAATCTTCGCAAGAGGGAGGTTTGTTTAAGATCTATAAGGAGTTGGGTGAAGATTCATTGATGAAAGTTGTAGTCCTTTCAATCAAGTTCTCACAAATTCAAATCCTTCATCATTACGACATCTGTACAAAAAATCATGATTGTTTTAGTGAAGGAGGGGCAATGATGTTATTTCTGAGAAATTGCACTTGTATATTTAACCTCATTAATACTTGAACTTTATTTTTATTATTTTGGGAGCTAAAGAAGGTTTCCATCTATTTCATTGGGATTCAAGCCGGTTGGAGTGATTTTCGAAGGAAAGGCAACTTTGGAATATTGGTTGGACTTGTATAAGGTAAGTACCTTGCCTAGGCTTGGCTTGAGGAAATCTACCTTTGGAAGTCGACCTTATTTGAGTATTTGCTATGATTTGAAGACGTATATTCGTAGGGGCAAATGTATATATTAGTACCATGGACTATTCATGCTCAGGTGGATCATTAGACTATTCTATATTTTATACTAATGACTAAGCTAGCAAACTACGGAATTGTGTTTAACAAGTAAGAAAAGTAAAAAATAAAAATAAAAAAAATAAGCAAAATATGAAAAGTTGCAAAATTATATGGAAGTACACCATAAGCAACACATTGGTAAATTGGAGGATAAGAAAAATGGAAGAAAAGTAGTTTAAAAATAATAGAACTTAATATATTAGAAAAAAGAAAATTTTAAAAGTTATATAGGCTAGCAATTACACGGTATAATTACCATTAATTCTCACATCTCCTTTCAAAACTGGAGAGTGTAATTACACCCTCTTAATAACACCCAATTCCATGCTGACCAAGTAATTACTAGACTAGACAAACATGTCAAACTGTGTAATTACATATATATATCCTAATTACATCCAAATTTAACTCCTAAGTGGCTTTCCCAACAGGCTCTTAAATTGGGCACTCTTAGCCCCATCGCACACAATACATAAATGCCACTCAATCATACTTATCACGTCCGTTCATATCATGTAAACATTCTTGAAAATTTTGCAACACTACCACTCATGATTCCAGAAGCACTTAAGCAAGAGTTGAAAAGGAAAAACATTCACTTTCATTACATAAAAGCCAAAGAATATTCACAAATCAAATTCACACTCCTGTCTACTAACAGTTTTAGGACTCGTAATAAAAGCGAAGCCAAGTTCAATAAATAGCATATCGTGCTTCTTGGCTGGCACAATGGCTTCCATTATGTGTGTTCCTTTAAGCATAATTATCATATCCTGTTCTATTCACTTTTATCTTCAGGTCTTATGGAGTAAGCCTTGAAGCCACCTACATATGTTGCCTCAACATCAGCAAAAACTTCAGTTGCAAAGACTTCCCATGAGTTAGTTGACAGAACGACAAAATCCGCATATTTTCCCGGAGACAATGATCCAACATATTTATCAAGAAAACAAGCATGAGCAGCCGAAATGGTGTACCTGCCAGAGAAAAATAAGCTAGGATAGACAACTGAATTTTAAAGGCAAACTTTTGAGGGAAAAAAACTCACGGAATTAGAATAAACCACATGATGGATACAAGTTATTCTGTTACGCTGACTTAGGTCACCAGATGAAGATAAGACAAAATAAGAGATATTGGGAAACATGCCAGGATATTAGAATATCTTGTGGAAGGAAATGGTAAATGAACTGGTGGTATTTGGCTAGCTTGAATGTACCTTGACTATTCAACTGGGTGCCTAGTACCTCCCACCAGTACAAGTATCGGGTAACTGTGCCCACCAAGGCTTAGGCCGATAGGAAAAATCACTTGGTGTTTTTTTGACTCCGCTGACATTTGAACCTTGGTCTCCAAGGTTTGAACTCATTCTATTGAATACTAAACAATAAAGTCACACTCTTGGGTGCAAAGAATGAATTGCATTTTGCATTTCGATGTAACAATTCAACAAATGACTTAGTCGAGCATGTGGCATTGGCTTAACCGACTACTGTATCTTCCAAGAAGATATATATCTTATCACTGTGTAATTATTATGAAATGAGACCTTAGCTGTAACTTATTGTTACAATTAATCATTTTAATCATCAAGCTGAATTCAGATGGACTAGAGAGCTGAACTAATAGCAGCAGATTAGTATAGTTTACTATGATGTTGATTTTCCCCCTATTGAGTCAACTACCGCTTGAATGAGTTCCAGGTTCACACAGAAAACACCGTGGATTTTCTACATAATGAGTAGATAAGAATGGACTACTGAAACAATCAATGAGTCAAACAGAACAATAGTGCGACTTACGCATTTAATGCATCTTTGAGACACAAGCACTCTGATGGAATCCAAGCCTTTTCCCAACCAGGAGGTACTCTCTTCATCGATGTCCTAATGCTTTTCAAAGGATTAATATCTGCTACCTGAAAAAGTCAGCAAAAGAAACACATGACAAAAGAATTAATAGGAAATCGAGTACTGACAGAAACATAAAGAGATGAAATCCAGAAATCACATACCGGCCAATCCGAGCCAAATGCCAATTGTGCATTCTTGGTCAAGAGTGACTTGAATAGATAAGATCCTCTTTCAGCCCTTTCACACCCAAGTTTTTTAGATGCAGAATCAGCATCATCCAATAAGTGATCTGGCTGTTATGATTTGCATTTTGTTATACAATTTTATGTTGAGACATCTTGAAAAACTTAGAAATTAATATGACAAGCTCAATGCCCAAAAAAATGGAAACTGTGGGAAGAGCGTGGCAAGAATATTGCAAGAAAAGGTCAAGGGAAAAACATCGCCTGCAGGCCAAAAAAAAGAAAATGATTGAAGATGTCACCCTACATAGTTTTCCAATTTAAAGTCAAAACTAATTTGGAGGGATGCTTATGTTCGAGTCAAGACTTTACATTAAGAGAGCAGGAGGGTAGCAAAGATACATGCATGGATTTTTCGAGTGAACTCTCATTTCACAAGATCCAATGATGGCTTGAGATTATGATCAGAAATCAATGCAATACAATCTACATCCTCCAAGATTCCGTTGCAGAAGAAAGATTTTTATACTCTGATTTTGAAATAGCTGGTCAAATTGAACTACATAAATAGGTTAAAGAATTGACAGAAGTCTCTAATTTTGATTGAGATCAATGCTCGCCGACCCATCGTTGCTTTAACTTACTGGGAAAAGAGATTAGGGAATTTTCAGCACCCTAGAGTCCAAATTCATATATATATATATATATATATATATATATATATATATATATATATATAAAAAACAAGGTGAAACAGTATGAGATGCGACAATATAATTAAAATACTAACAGTCGATAAAGAATAAAATCACAGAAAGAATATAACTCAGTACACAGAGAGAGCAACAGGGGATCTTCGAGGATATCGTCCCGTAGTCCCAAAAGTAAATGTACAAAGGATCTCCCGGGATATTGTCCGTAGTACGAATCATAAATATGCAGGGGAGTCTCCCGGAATACCAATCCGTAGACCCAAAGTAAATATCCAGTACAAAGGAACCTCCCGGGATGTCGTCCCGTAGTCCCAAATAAAAATATGCAGGGGGATCTCCCGGAATACCGATTCGTAGTCCCAAAGTAAACATGTAGGGGGATCTCCCGGGATGTCGTCCCGTAGTCCCAAAGTAAACACACAACAGTCTCGAAAAAAGAATCTACAGTTCTATTCAAGTTCGTACCAATAAAACAGAGATTTCCATTTTAAACATGCTACACAGAATTTAGGTATATAGTTTAAGCAGGTAGAACAGCTAAATCACTTAAGCATGCTTTCCTAAGCTAAACAGTAGGATTTAAGATACAAGTAGTGTTCAACAAAAAGGAAACACAGATATTTACTTAATGAAAAAGGGATTTTCCAACAATTAGCACGTGTAAGCACTCGTCACCTCACGTACACGACATTCATATAACAACAACACCAAATCCTAAGGGGAGTTCCCCCACATAAGGTTAGGAAAGCCACTTACCTCGAACCAGCTCAAAATCAATCCGAAATCACGCTCTTGCCACGAGTATCCAACTTCGAGTGGCCCAAATCCAATGATCTTCTCTTCAAAAACCCCACAGAATCACCCTACCCCGAGCTCCAAATTTGATTTTCTAAGTTATGAACTCAAACCCTCGATTTTCATATTTCTGCCCATCGATTTTTGCTTTTGCGATCATGGGACCGCACCTACGGTCCCTCTTCTGCGGGCTGGGGACGTCGCACCTGCAATATTTCATTAAACGGGCAGATACCGCACCTGCGCTCTCTCCTCCGCAGATGCGGTCCGCTTTTGTCGGTCCTATTACCGCATCTGCGGTCACTGGC